ACAACCAGACTGCACACCCGACGTTCACTATCGCTTTGAGCAACATTCAATGTAGACTGCATGTAATTGTGTCCAGTAATGTATTTGTGGATTTTTGAAAAAAAAGCTGTAAAATGGGACGTTGCCAACTTCTGGTGAGGTGAACATGTTTCTTCATAAGCATTGTGAATGTTATACCAGACTTTCTTCACAAAAACTTCCAATTCAGGAGTGAGTGAAATTGTATCTACAGCAGCATTCAAGTCAGCCTGTTGCTTTGTCTCTGGATTTGGCACACGGATACTATTAAGAATTGCTGCAGTGTCAATGAGGGGGTCAATCTGCAACTCATGTGGCAATGGCTGCACATCAGCCACATCTTCAGTTAAAAATTCTTCCACAGATCGATAGAAGTGCTCTTCGTCTTCTTCCTCCCATTCTTCTCCCTCATCTAGCTCTTCTGTGATAGGTGCTAATGGTATTAAGGGTGTCTCACATACTTTGTATTCAACTCTACAGCAAGATAAATCCTCACCTGGTAGAACACCAACTGTATCAAATGTCTGATAAAACTGTACTATTTCAATTGGAGGGACTGGGCACTTGTGAGAATTGTAGTTCACCAGTTGTACATCTTCAGGTTTCCTGACCTGGCCGACTGCCACACTCACCTGACCATGTTTAAAGGCACGCTCTCCGGGAAGTCTTTGTAGCGCTCTGGCATTGTGGTACTCCACCTCAAATTTGGTTGCATACAGAAAAGTTGGGTTTGTAGATTTATCTGGTAGGCTACGAGAGAGTCCCAAAAGATAGTCGTCAGATGTTTTAGATATAGAACCTCTTGCTGACTCCTGAATAGCTTCAATAAATAAAGGATCCTCCTGCCGTTTGACATCTGTTAACAAAATGTTATGACGGAAGACTTGGTTAAAGATGTCTGACTGAAAAGCAAAATGCCCATAATCTCCATAGTCATGATTTGGGACAGGTGGCAGTTGATAAAAATCACCACTGAAAATTACTTGCACTCCCCCGAACAGAATCTCAGATCCTCTTACAACACGAATAATATACTCCAATTGCTCGAACATCCTCTTGGATAACATGGACACCTCATCCAAAATAAGGCAGTTCATATTGGTGATTTCGTTGTATCTGTCTCTGTATTGAGGGTCCTTCAAAATACGAGTGGCCAGATCTTCACTGTTATGTCTCCCATCATCTAGGGCAAAAGCTGAATGTACTGTGCGGGCACCAATCTTTTTTAAAACGAGGGCAGATATCCCTGTTGTTGTGACTACTGTTACCTAAAAGACAGTAGTTCATGAACATGCCATCTTAAATTTTCAGATAAATAGCAAAAATGTCATAATAAAAGGCTAAAAAAATTAGACACAAAGGAATTTCTGGATTTTTCTGGTCAACTGAATGACTGCCCTTCAATCTTATTTTCTGTTATAATGCTTGATTCATTGGACTAAAATTAGGGTAGTGCACCATTGTCCTATAAGGCATCATGGGTTTTAATAAGCCCAGTATATGTATGTCATTGCTTGGCTACTTTAAGTCACAAGAACACAGATTGGAAATTTCATCAACAGCTTACAGTGTGTATGGACAACAAGTGTGTTTTATTTGAAAGGATAAATATAATTTAACAGCAAAAACAACATACCTGAACATGAATTAGTTTTACATGCGTTGAAAGCTTTTTACACTCGTACACACACTATGTTTGTTTTCTTATTATAATTAATTATCAACTTCCAGTACTACCAGTATTCATTTATTACCTCTGTTTAGAATTTAGTTTATCTAATTATATTGTGTGAATAAGATCTTGTTAACAGCCACTGCTGGATAAAAGGATATATTCCAATGTTACTAGTACTTACATGCAAGGGGTGAAAAAATAAGTGAAATAAATGACACAAGAAAAACATCATGTACTGTACGATACATATGCATATTCCTTACCTTTTTGTCTTTCTTTTTTAATTCATTCGCTATTCTTATTAAGGTTGAAGTCTTTCCTGTACCTGCTTGTCCACATAACAGGATATTGTGACCAAGCACTGCTAAGGCAACCGCCTCGTCCTGCGTCGACAGCGTTGAGATGCTTTAACACCACGTGGAATCGTCATTTATAAATAAATACCTCAACGTCAATCAAAAAATACGCGTCCAATGGCATGGCTTATTTTTCGTAAGCCCGGTGTATGGTGACCTCTGCGGTTACGTCACTTCCTGATTTGGATACTGTAGAGGACCTGGCCAACGACACCCCGAGAATTTGTTTTTTACGGTTTGATTGTGCGTATGCCATGCACGGAATTTACAAACGAGCGACGGGATGATGTAGCCTGCAGTATTAGCGGTAAGCGTGCCAAGTTTTAGGCCGCTCCGATGCCCGGCAGTATTTTATTTTGATTATTATGTTGGAACTGGATTTTTCTTGTTTCAGAAGCTTACTATATTTTATTGTCTCTATGGAGGTATATGGGGACTTTACGACATTCGGTTTGAAGGCTTTAACCACTTGTTATAGTTTATGTTTGCATTGTATTGGATTAATGTGGCAGTCCAAGGTTGTTGTAGGTGGTTTTCAAGTTTATGCACCCGGTTTTAATATCATTTAGCGATTTTACGACAATCGTTTACTATCCAATCAAGGTGACAGCCGAGCGTGGGAGTGACAGTAGAATTCACGATTTATTTACCAAAGGCTCTCATCATTTGAACGTCAGCGTTATATTTATAATGCAAACACTATTTCCAAAGGAAAAACAAGCCAGAACAATCTCTTTGAATAGCCACTATATCGTGCTTTTTAAAAACCCGAGAGATGTTCTCCAAGTAAGAACCTTAGCCACACAAATGTATGGAGAAGCAAGCGGTTTTCTCGACGTGTTCAAACAGGCAACAGAAAAACCGAACGGTTATCTACTGATTGATTTGACCCAAGATTGCGAAGACGAAATTCGATTGAGAACTTGTGTATTTCCTGGAGAGACGCAAATTGCGTTTGTGCGCAAATGACTGAGAATACAAATTTGTATAAATATTTAACTTTTCGTATGTGCGAAGTTATTCGTTGGGGGACATTGAAATAGTCACAAGACATTTTTTGGATCAGACTATAAATGTTCGTGAAGCCTCTGTTTTGAGTTATTGTAACATGAAAGCTGAGGCCGAAAAGTTATACCGTGTTCATGTCAAACTACTTTCAATAGCCGATAAGAAATTGACACGTGGTATAATACAAAACTCTACCTACGATCTCGTTCGAATTTTGTGTAACTTTGCCGCAAATGTACTGTACAACAAGGATCTTAAACTAACTTTAAAAGAAAAATCGGGTTTACGCAGAGTCAAACGCATCGTAGTCCGGCTGGCTGATAAAAAAGTATCCATACAGTCCAAGAAACAACTTTTGTTACGAAACACGCCTGTGGTTAAAGCAATTTTAAATCCGATATCAAGACATGTCAAGCTTTCAGAAAATGGTCTTGATAAGTGAAACCGAACTTAACGCCTTAAAACAACGGGTGAACAGCAATTATTCCTCCTTACAAGAAGAAACATTGCGATTGCAAAATGAAATGGCGAAGAAGATGCAAAGGACCGATATACCTTTTGACGAAAAAATGAAAATGTACAACGACCTGCAAGTTCAATATTTGAAGATTGCGCGAAAAAAGGAGCCTGTTGCTGTAGTGGTACAGAATTCACCGGCACCCTCCATACAAAACGTGTCAGCACCAATGGAAAGCCCTCCCGTAAAGACAGATAACGTTCCTATAAAGCCCTATCTTAACAAAGAAATATTAGACTCGATTCCACAAAGGATGCGAAAAAAGGCTGGGGTAGTACTGAGATACATGTCTAATAATCCCAATGTATTGTCCTATAATGAACAAGGGTTATTAAAAGTTGATGGGAATGTAATAGATGGTACCAACATTGTAGATTTGATGAACGATCTTTACGTATCGCGTAAAAAGTATACCCCTCCCGGGCTTTCCACCTTTCTTCTTTAAAACGTCTCAATGTACCGTTAAATACTATCTCAAACACCAAGCGACGTAAACAGATTGCAGATGGAGATACTTCATCTGCCAGAAGTCAGATGGGCTCGGGTTATCTAGCTTCGTACAACATATATTGAAACGGTTGTTATAAAGCCATTCTTTATTTTGCTTGAATAAACGTATTTAATACATAAAACCTAAAGACTTTTTTGATCTGCAAGCTTGAAAACTCGTATTTACAAAACTGGGTATAATGAAATGTACATTAACATAATCATACACTAATATATCATTGAATTGTTTGTCACGAGCAAAGCTTTTAAGAATGTGCTGTAAAGTCTTCCCTCGAGAACGGTTTGTTAGATAATATATACAGTATTNTTCTATTTTATTGTCTCTATGGAGGTATATGGGGACTTTACGACATTCGGTTTAAAGGCTTTAACCACTTGTTATAGTTTATGTTTGCATTGTATTGGATTAATGTGGCAGTCCAAGGTTGTTGTAGGTGGTTTTCAAGTTTATGCACCCGGTTTTAATATCATTTAGCGATTTTACGACAATCGTTTACTATCCAATCAAGGTGACAGCCGAGCGTGTTTGTTCCTGTTATTTGAAAGCATTTCCTCTCAGGAAATATAATCTTTCTTCCTCTTTTTCGGAAAATCTTTTTTAAAAAATTAAAGAAGTTTCACTATGCATTCATTCCGGAATTTCTTCAAGTAATGTTGTCTTGAAGATGACACCTAGCTCCACCCTGTTGTGTACATGACTTCATTCTTTGTTTTTTCCTGTCACAAGGGGCAGTCTTTCAAGAATACATCTGTAACAGTCCAGTTTGTTCCTGCTATTTGCAAACATTATCCCCTAGGAAATATAATCGTTCTTCCTCTTTTTACAAAATCTGTAAATTTTTATCAAAGAAATTGTTTAGAACATAGAATTCTGAAAAGTTCTTATGTACTGTAGCTGCTGTCATGGTACCCTCTACCAGTCGACAGATTGATTTTTCACAGATACTCGCAGATGTCTCTAGATAAATAGTCATGTTATAGTGAGAAATGACGACAACAGTCTGGAGCTTTGTAATGTTTATTCATCGACTCTCCTTTTCACACAATCTACAAATATTTATACTCTATTTACTTAAAGAATTTTGCATTCTCATATTACAAAACGCTATTCAATATTTCCTAACGCGGCCACAAAAAAGCTATATTCGGCTGAGGGGGCGACTGAGTCGGATTCAAATAAAAGATATTAGTGAATTCGTAGCGTTGTCTTGAGTTGTTCTCTGCACAGGAAATATCAAGATAACCAATAGTTTTCCGTTCCTAGGGTTATTATTAAATCACAATGGAAAGTTCCTCACCACACAGAAAGCCATAGCTGATCAGGGAAGTAAGGCAATGTTGGTAGTAACAATATCAGTAGAGACGTACTCTCAAATGTAGAAACAACTTTTTCTCTTTGATGCATATGTTTTACCGAACCTGAACTATGGAAGCGAAGTCTGGGGGTTTCGTGAATCGTCAGATATACATCTGCAATATTGTTAATTGATCTTGTGAGTAAAACCCTCTTTACACTAGACAGCGACCATAAAACGTGCCAGGTTGCCGTTGGACGCTCAAAGCACACACTGTGATCGCTTCGCACACAGAACGTTCAAGCATCGTTTATCGGTCTAGCAGGAGGCAGAAATATCTAAGAATGACAGCCACTAAACGTCGATGAAGGTACAGAGAACTTAACGAAGGGTTCGTAATGAATCCTTGAACCCCGTAGGTTGTGCAGGGGACGCACAGGGGAGGTAGGCGGATAGCTCCAGTGGACGCACAGGTCGCTCGCTGTTTTACCAGTAAAACCTATATTCGGTCGTTCAAAGAAGGCACAAGGGACGAAGAAGCATTTACACTGAGACAGGATTTAATTGCTTTGGCGACAATTGAGCTTCTTGACAACATTATTGATTGTAGAAGGGACGCTGAAATGACGCCGGCCAGTGTAAAGGGGACTTAATTTAAAGTAACAAAGCTGTGCTGTCTACTGTTTATAATAAATTAAGGCGATTCCCACTAAAATACTACAGAATGATTAGCATTGAGAAGTATTGTATGAGGCTATTTAGAACTTTATTTTAAGAGGGATCTATGACAACCTACCACTTTCATGCAATGAGTTTGCCAAGGTGGGGTGTAGGGGATTAACACGGGGTTTTTAAATGTTATTCGAGGTTGAGCATTTTAATTCAAGCAAAGGGTATATTTTGCCTGCACTAAGTGAACTATTTATTTGATTTTTCAATCAACAACCAATGACTTTCATTGTGTGACCTCACTGAACAAGCAGTAGGTTATATGATACAAAAACAGTACCAGTGGGTTTTACGCTTTTTGAAAATTTCATAATTGGGGAAATTTCAATATTAATAAATTAAAATCATAAAAATTTTAAATGTCAGTTGGTCCCGTATGTAACTGATAATAACGCATGGAATTATTCTTGTTGTTCCGTGATCCAACCATATCACAATTAATGCAGCAAGCAGTAAGTAAACTAGCAGCGTTTCTTCCTTAATATATTATGACCAATTAATAATTCCTAATTTTGACTACCATTAATTTCTCAGGATTTCTTTGTAAATTTAAGTTGATATTTTAAACCGTTCTGGTAATTTTAATCATTTGCTGTTCTTTTTTGTCACAAATTTATTATCTTGAAGCACCGTAATAATCAAAACATTCATTTCATTTCCAAATAATTTTCCTAGTTTTCTTGGATCTGCGCATCTAACATTCATATGTCAAAATCAAAGCCGGCACAGATCAGATATCGCATGTATTGTCATCAGCACTTTAGTGTTTGCATCTAAAGCATTGTTTATAATATCTGAGAAAATAAAACATTGTCTAAGTGAATGCCTGATTGCTAAAAGCATGTCTCCCAGGTGGAAATGAAGCGAAGTCGGTCTCGTTCTCACTATCCGCCGAGGCATCAATGTCCTCAATGTTGCGGATGTCTCCTGTATTTGTTTGCCCCGATAGATGTCATCTGGTGTGTGTAGGCCATGGGGGGCGACCTACGGGGATGCTCTGGCATTGAGCTGACTTTATATTTCTGTCCCCAGACACAGCGATAGGCAATAACAGCAATTAGGCACAGTGCCACCATTCCGCCCACTGCGCCTGCGCCGGCCTTGAAGCCCACCGTCTGGTACCATGGTTCTTGTGGGGACTTTACCACAGTGGCTGAAATATAGGGAATATAAAAACGTATCATTATAAAATTACCCTAATTACCCTATTAGCCTATAGGCCAATCACCGGGTGTGGAAATTACTAACTTTTTATCAGGTGTTTGTATTCGTTTAGATAAAAGCGGGATTCAATTCATACATGTTAACTTGGTCATTGTTTTGAGCTACTGTAACATACCTTGTGTTGTCGTCGTCTTCGGCGATGGTACTGTCTCACCACTTGTCACTTCACCCTGGGTGCCCGTGGTTGAAGAACTCCCAAGGGTAGTGGAAACCGGTGCTACGGTGTTAGTCGTAGGGTTCACAACGACTGTATCATTTCGTTCCTCAACAAGGTGTCCGTAGACAGAAATAACAACAGGCAAGATGGCGGACTTTGGTGGTTCTCCTCCATCCTCCGCCAAAATGGTAAGGTCATATCGATACTGGGCTGGGAAACGCACGACGATCAGCTCTCCGGTGTCTTCATTGACAGCAAATACAGCATCAGGGTTGCTCTCGTTGGTTATAGAGTGTCGAACCGTTCCGTACGACCCACTGTCTTTGTCTGTGGCCAGGAACCGCCCTACCGTTCGTCCTAGCTCGCCACTGGCATTCACTGGAATCTCTGGAAAACCAAACAACTGGAAAAGTGGAGCGTTGTCGTTGACGTCTTGGACAATGATGGCGACCTTGGTGGCAGCACTCTTGGGCGGTACGCCCTTGTCAGATGCCACTACTGTCATAATGAACTCCTGCGGAAGACTGTCGTAGTCCAGTTTGGCTACCACTGATAACTGTCCCTGACTGTCCATGTTGAAGAACCGCTCCGCTCCGTTGCTTCCAGAGAAAGTATACTCAAGTTTGCCATTTCGCCCTGTATCTAAGTCTGTCGCGTTAATCATGGTAATGTTCTCTTGAAGCACGATAATAGTCCCTGGTGGGGCATTCTCCGGCACAGTGCCATTGTACCAGTTGTATGCAAACTTTGGGCTGTGATAGTTCGAACCAATTCTAATAGAACAGTCGACGTCGTCGTATTCATCCAGACACTCGCACTGGTTAGGCGAGACACAACTTCCATTACCAGAGCAGTTGGCCACATCACGGCAGACGGGCCCGTCACAGCGTTCACCCAGCCAGCCAGCAGAACACAAGCACGTGTCCAATAATACACACTGTCCATTGCCTGCATAGAGGAAAGATAAACACAAGTATGTCACATAGCGTAATAGGGAGATGAACAAATACAATCGTTGCAGATCTAACACATAAACTTATGGCTTTGTTTAAAACTAGTTTATTCCACACTAAGACAATGCAATCGTGTGCAAACTCCCAATGAACGCATTACTGGCAGTTATCTTCTGGTCAAGTGGATGTCTTTAACGCTTTCTCTTTGAAAATAAACAGGTAAGACGCACAGTTAGAATAAATATACAACCATATATTATGACATTGTGGGTATGTATTGAGTTATACAGTTATTACCAGAGCAGTATCCAAGAGCTTCACATGAGAAATTAGAGCAGTCATTTCCCCCGAAGCCTGTGTCACAGTTACAGAGGTTGGGCTCCAAACACGCACCGTGTCCTGAACAGTTGTTTACAGTAGAACATGAGACGGCGTCACACGTGTCGCCATGGTAGCCTTCAAAACACCTGTTACAAATATAATTTTTGAAGGGAGAAAATAAAATCATAAATACATGTACTGTTTTCCTCCCTCTGAAATTCTCTAAATTTGTCATAGGGCCAGTTGTAAAAATTATAATAACAATTTTAATATCATCTTATTTTAAGTGTCATAAATAGACCCAGCCTAAGCTTTCACCAAACATATTTTAAAAACCGTTGTTACATTTCACTATCGTAGACAATTGCTGTGGGATTTCTGTTATTATGATATATATAACCAAACGCCTGCCACCTCTAACTGAAGGTAACGAAAAGTACCATACCTGCACATAACAGCCGTATCATTCCCTTCTAAGGCAGCGCATATACCGTGGCCACTACAGTCATTTAACGATGTGCAATTTTTCACTGCGGTACAGTTTTCACCATGGTAACCGTCATAACACGTGCACGTGTGAGGTGACGTACACACCCCGTGTAGGGAGCAGTCATTATTTGAAGAACAGTCTGGCAGAGCGCAGCTGTCTCCTTGCCAACCATTGTCACAACTGCATACGTCATATCCTTTACACTGACCGTGGCCTGGAAAGGTACATGCTTCAACATTCTTATAATTGAACTACTGATGATAATACATAAGACAGTGATGTATAATAGCATATCGTATAGTACTGCTTTATTCTATCGCATATTGTTACATGTCGAATTATATAAAAACGTTTTGTATTTTTGTATTTGTGTACTTTCTCAAATGCACCCCTTTTTTTCATATCATTCACGTAAAAATAATGGTAAAAATCTCTCCTATGAACAACACACCTGAGCAAGCCGCCAGACGTTCACAAGAAAACTCTGTGCAATTTGGCCCCGCCCATCCGCTGTCACATTTGCATACGTCGAAGTCCACGCAGACCCCGTGACTGGAGCATTCAGACACGTTGAAACAAGTTGCAACGATGCTACAGTCACTACCTAAATGTACAGAATTGAAAACGTGGGTAAATTAGTTCGTGTTTTTTTTTGCCACAGAAATTTCGTACAATTATATATATATATATATGTAGGGTGCGTTTCCAATAAACTTTTTTTTACTTAGATCGATCCAACTGCCTTGGGACTGAATGCACTCACATCAACTAAATGACAAGCCTCCTCGGGTGATTAGCCTTAGTGTGCGCTCGACTTCTGGAAGATTTTGCCCTTTGCCTTGAAAGCACACGAAAGTTAATCCTTATTGTAATGCATACCCACAAATCCTGGTAGACAGCGACACCTGTTGGTCCTGTAAAACATACCATGGTCCTCCGCACATACCCACAAATCCTGGTAGACAGCAGCACCTTTTTGTGCTGTAACACACACCGTGGTCCACAATACATACCCACAAATCCTGGTAGACAGCGACACCTGTTGGTCCTGTAACACAAACCATGGTCCTCAATACATACCCACAAATCCTAGTAGACAGCGACACCTGTTGGTCCTGTAACACACGCCATGGTACTCAATACATACCCACAAATCCTGGTAGACAGCGTCACCTGTTGGTCCCGTAACTCACACCGTGGTCCATAATTAATACCCACAAATCCCGGTAGACAGCGACACCTGTTGGTCCTGTATTAACACACGCCTTGGTCCTCAATACATACCCACAAATCCTGGTAAACAGCGACACCTGTTGGTCCTGTAACACACACCGTGGTCCTCGTCAGTGCAGTTATTCACATACAGACACGTAGCTGGAATAGAGCATTGAAGTCATTAGTACATTTTCGGAAACTAAGTAATGTGTGGTACGACACATTACGCTATGCATCACACACATCCCTCTTCTATACACTTGTAAACTGATATTATAGCGTTACTCATGTGTTGTTGATGCAATGGTATGAAGCTTTCTATCAAACACAATATTTTTTTAATTAACTCTTCTCGACATAACTGCTTGTTTCTATATGCTTTTTACATGTCTCTACGTGACCGAAAAATAAAAGACTTGAAGTTCTGACTGCAATACATTTGTTAATTAATAAGACTGATGCTGGTCAGGTCACAGCATTCAGAGGAATGTGAGGTGGTGAGGCGTGGCGAGCGATAGGAGAAAAAAAATGCTTTACAGTACAAAACTGTAACTTTCATACAAAATAGAGTGCCCCAGAAGAGCAATCGAGTGCATACAGTTAACGGGTGATTTGTGAGTTCCTTACAGTTACCTTTCTGTTCACAGGCTGTCCCTTCCCAGCCCACAGTACACACACAGAAACCGCTGTCACATACACCATTGACGCAGGCACCACAGGAACCTGTATGAACCGGAGTGATATTGGCGTAAGTATTGTCATTTGTATTATAATTCAAAACATATCTAAATTTATATAAAAACACTATCTGTGTGTGTCACAGTTTCATACATATTTAGAAACGTGATTTTGTCAAACGCATTTTAGAAACAAAGTGGAAAAAAGTGGAAAAAATATCTAAAAAAACCCTAAAGGTACATACGAACCGAGCATCGGTGGAGCGCGGATTCCCAGTAACACATGTAAACCACTTCTACTAGTTTCTTCTACGACTCTAATAAATTCGACATGCAAAGGGATAAACTGAATAAATCACCCAATCAACCATAAAAGAGCTTTAGAGTGCTCCTTTCTTTAAATTTTTGGTTGTCAATTAAACCTACTTTCGTGACCTACTTTTCTGCCCCATTGACATACAGCATAGAATGCTAGCAGAAAAATCTGTCCAAACATCACTTTCGGGTAAAATTAAACAATGCCTTTTGGTAATTCTCTTAGTTATACTACCTGAAACTATATGCTGGCATTCGGTTGGTTTTGATGACAAAATTGACTTTGTATGTATCTTTAAATATTTTATTGCTAAGATATATGTCAAATCTACATGAGGCACAAAATGACCCCAAGTTGTTTCTATAATGTCGAAAATGGGTTCTTTTTTCCTAATTTAGTCAGGTTTGATAATCTACACGTTTTTTTTGGTAAAAAAGTGATGGAAATATGAAACATTATATTTTGATACCTAATTTGCATAATTTATGCGTATGGATATTTTTTTCTTTTGGCCCAAGGATCATTCATGCCAAGTTAGACTATAAATTGCAGCGTTTGACCCCTAAACAAGCCTACTATGTAGGATGTTGTCCAGGGTGACATATAACCTACCTGTAGAGCAGTCAGTTCCAGTCCAGCCGTCGTTACATTGACAAGTGCTGTTCACACACCTCCCTTTACCATTACACTGACCAGGACAACCTGGCAATAACGTTATATTATGAGGCTACAGACACAGATGTGGTTGTATATGCATGCAGGTTTGCATGTTATTGTATATTTCTAGCAAAGGATATTAATTCAGCAGTTAAAATAACACAAAATAACACGGATATTTATAAATAAGTCAATAAAGAATGGTAACGCATGCGCACAAAGACTTTTATTTACGATTTTTAATATCCTCAGTTTTATCAATCAGTTATTATATCTGATTGTGCCACTGTGTATTTATATTTATATATCTCATATTTATTATTCCAACTCTCTACGTGCTAACAGACTGTTTAAGCAGTAATAATAATAATGGTCTGATGTGGTGTGAATCTGCACATGTACAAAGTATGTTAACGTTTTGATACGGTATATTTATTAATATTTATTTAATTCAGGCAGATAAGGCAAGGAGTGGTGTTAGAGGTTCTCTATATATTAATACTCACCTAGCTCATATGTTTCTTGGTTGGAGAAAGTGACGTCTTAAAGACGTTTACAGAGTCACTAAAACCATTCGTTCTGCCCCTAGGACTACCATGGTTGAAATACGTAGCTAATCCCTCGTACCCCGCCCCCTTCCCAGCTCCTGCGGCTCTGTCGCTCTTTATACAGCGGAACACATACCAGTTATCAACTCACAGCCTACATCACATCCTATGACAATAGTGTATGAGCATATTCTCTTCAAATTACACGCCTTAGGGTGAGAGAACATACATATAACAATATACATACCGGTGTCATACTGGATTGCAATCATCATCACGGCACCAGTGGCATTGTTCCTGACCTTAGCAATATCTACAGTGACGGTGTCATTGTTAAGCGTCAATCTTGTCTTGTTTTTGGTTATGTTCTGGACTAGCCCGTCAATTCTGAGTAAAAAAGAATTGTTATCTAAACGTACGTATATGTGTTTTATATGCCAGATATGACCGAGCGTTACATGGCACATGTATAGTAGTAAGACGGTTTCTTTTCTATATTACCGTGAGGTACATGGCACGTGTAGTTAGACGTCTACAATAACGATCATTTGATAATGATATCTTAAAAATATTAAAACAATACATCCATTCGTTTCATTGACCATGTGATTGATAAAACAAGCGCAACCATCATGCTGTTTCTTTCCGGATTTTAATGTCATATTATTCAAAGGCAATCCCGCACGAAAATGCAGTAGTATCGAAGTAGTAAAGAAGCATTAACGCAGTAGTGGTGTGGAGCATATTTGCAGTAGAAATGCAGTAGAGTCTACTTCAATTCTACTTCAAAAATTACATAGGGTTGTACAGAGGAGGAGCATTAATGCAGTAGATTAGCAGCATGATAGAAGCATGTTTCAAATATGCTAATTAGCTCCCCAATCAAAGCAGATTTGAAGCATGTTTGCAGTATGATTGCAGTAGTCTACTGCGCTGGAGTATCTACTTCGTTTTCGTGCGGGATATTACTAGTACACTTTCTATATTCCCAATTCACCTTAAAGTAGGAAGAGTGGTTTCAGTAGCATTGGCCGGTGTAGTAATGGTGGCCACACTGTGGCCGACCTTGACCGCGGCGTCACCGACCAGTGATGCTTGTTTATAGCCGAAGAACCTGACTTGTACGCCAAAGTCGTTAGCTGTACTCATACAGTCCCAGAACTCTCCAATACCATGGTAGTCGTAGGATATACCTTAGGAAACAACGAATTCATACAGCAAGTTATACCATTACTTTAGCAAACATGGTGCACAACGGCTATTTCATTTCACAACGATTACTTTCCTTTGTTTTTCGAGACGCTATGATTAAATCAGGAAATAAACATCGATGCACACTAAACTGCCGAAGAATTGTATAGAAAAATAATATTAATACACTAAAATATACACGTATGTTACAAATGTGATTCAAAGAACCGCAGTATATTATGCCTTTCCATTTTGAAAAACATGTCTAAAGATAAAGTGATTTAAATTCGCTGAGCAATTTTGACGATGTTCACCCACCATCTGCTGTCTGTAAGTGAGGAACACCTCCCATGTTTCTTGGTATTCTGACATTACAACAGACGCCGGTCCAGAATTGGGAACACACACACCTGGAGCTACAGAAGTACGATTGAGGGGTGCAAACACCATTGCCGAAACATTCTGAAATACAGTAGGGGTGTTTGTAATATAAAGGTTCTATCTGACTGTATGAATTCAGAGGCTAGTTTATAGACCATTTAGCAGACATAAGACACAAACAAATAATGAAGTAGAAATAATGATAAATAATTTGAAGGAAAACAATTGTAGAAAAATAACAAATTGAAAATGAATGTCTATTTTGCTATGTAAATTCAAGCCAGCCTATGATGCATTTACACTTAAATTTGGGGCGATTCACCTTGCAACCCGTTGTCTGTCTGAAAACTGCATGGCTCACAGTCCGGCTGGTCACACTGCCCTCCACGTCGACCTCGTACACAGGCAGGGTACAGTCCACACTGGGTCTTCTCACGACAAACACAACGACAGTCTTCCCACACAGGCTCGTAGGCAGAGTCACACACCGGGCAGCTGTAGAAGCGAAAACTAGACATTCAAGTCAGATGACTTCAATAGTTCAGAGACTTATAACACGTACCTGTAAACAGTTCCCTCATTACAAGCAAATTCGATAAATTACAGACTACAACAGGTGTCCACGTTCATCAATATAAGTATATACCTGTCTATGCTTCTACGTGGGGTGCAATATACTCACATATCATTCGGACAGTAACACGTTCCATCACTAGCTATAACCGAGTCCTGGCAGTTTTTACATTCACATGAACAATGACAGCCACCATCAGGTTTAACCGTACCATAACCGCCATTTGGACACTCACAGCCACACTAGAAAAATACACATTGATATAATGGGCAGAAATATAATAACAGAAAAATATGGTCTCAAGATCGATTGATATACGGATGTCAAAAGCATTAAGACAGTTAAAGTTGTACACAAAAATTCACTAAAATATTAACGTTTTGCCTTGGTTCCATTATTCTGAAACATAATTAAAATGATAACAATGATGTCTGGATTGCACTGCGCATAGAAATAATTCGATTCAACCATAATATTAACAAATTCTCTACTTAAATCTTCATGAAAATTTACATAAATACACCATTTTTATTTTCTGAATATGTACATGTTCTGTACCTCACACGTCTGCGTTCATCTCCCGTGGCAAACCGTCCGCACAGTGACATGGACACGCAGGCTGAGAAGGGTCATCAGTGATCACCTTTTTAGTTTTACCATCCGGGCACATGTCACACTGGCAACTGTGGTTATACTGTGAATCATAACCAAATATTAACAACTGATTCAATATCATAATATGACTTTCATATTATATTTCAACAAGGCAGCAAAGCTGTCAAATGTACAGACAAAAAACAGATAATAAAAATGCAAAATAGGTCATTTTGTCAATATTGATGCAATAAAAAATAATGCTTATAATAGCACTGTCAGTCAACACCGAATTTTAATCATGCACAACAGGTAACATAGTCAATAACAGGAGTGGACCCAGATATATTTTCTGACAGTATTCCAAAGAATCTATGTTGATCCATCCTCCATTTTGATGGTCTTCCAACAGAAAAAAAAATAGATACCAGTCAATATAAACTTAAAAACCTGACCATCTTCTGGAAGACCCAGAAGATGGTCTCAATCCACCCCTTCAATAAGATTACAGTTTCAGGACCATGAGAGTTCAAATTCACACGATGAAAGTCCCAATATTTGAAAAATTATGACAGTGCATAAAATAATATTACATAATGTTTAAAGACATAAAAACCAATACAACTGCTTATGTGGAAACACAGAAAATACAGAAAATGTGCAGATGTCAGTGTTTGAGAAAAAATTAATAAGGAAAACATAACAAAACTAGAAAAGCACTCTGAGAGCGCAGGCCTCTGCCAAGGCAGCAATTTTTGATTATTATTGATTATTGATAGATTATTAATCCGAACCACCACTAAAAACTAATCATTGTCCTCCTTGACCCACTTCTGACAGTTCCTGAAAATTTCATCAAAATTGGTCCATAACATTTTGAGTTATGTTCATGACAGACAAACAGGGGTGAAAACATAACCTCCTTGGCAAAGGTAAATATAATTCCAATGAAGCTGCTATTCAAACTTTTAATCTTTGAGTTTGATATATATATATATATATACAGTGTATATATACACACACTGGACAAAAGAAGTGTCACCCCCTAACTCAGAGTAATAAAAGTAGGCAGATCTTGGGTACTTATAATGCCTGGTCTACTTATAATGTGACTAATGAGTATAAAACCGCTATACCATGGAATTGTTTTGTTGGTCTTGTACATGTACAGCAAATGTTATTCCTGTCTTCCTCCAATATGGCAAGATACAGGCAATTATCTAACAGTTATAGGTGCAAGTTATTAACCTGAAGAGGCGGAATATAAGCAATGTCAGAATGTCGATACAATTGAACTATTCAGACAGAACCGTGCAGAGGGTCTGGTCTCGATATAGAAACACTGGATCAAGAGACAAATTGCCTCTGATGGNCTTATTTGCAATATTGAACAAAATTTACATCCCCAGAAATGCACTGCATGACGTCACGCCTAGCCCACTGCGCATGCGTGCCTTTTTAATGAGTTGCTAGATTGCCATAGGAAAATGAATGGGTTCGCGATTCGTGGGTAATTCGTGAGAATTGACAAACTAACGGCCTGATGCCGCTAGACAGCAACGCTGTGCTATGCTTCAAGCAACTCCTGACCAAATATCGCTAGGGTTTTTAAAAAAATTCTGTTGTACACACGTACTAAGAAGTTTGCCGTATATTGCCTAGACTACTCTCAGCAAAACGCAAATATTTTCAGTTATAGTAATTTTAGACGGTAGATTCACTCAGAAACAAAGGGAAATTAATTCGTTGCCGATAGCACCAGCTGATAGCAGTAACATACAGAGTCTGATTAAAAAATTTCATGGCAATTGAAGATTTTTTACCACTGTACAATGGAGTCCAAAAAGAGCACTTGGCACAAATGTAAAACTGCCCAGTGCAAGGCCAAGAATTCAATCAGTATGTTCAATCATATTATCAGATTCTACATAAATTGACTGACCATATCAATACTCAGTATTTAACTAATCTCTTAATCCAAAATTCCTATCATCATTTAATAATTATGCAAAATTCTTCTTTTAAATTGCTATTTATTTAAATTTTTAATGCTGCAACTGTTCCAAAATAATCTTGTAGTAAAGGAAAAATGCAAATAAGAAGTGGAAGACCAATTTTACCCACAGTATTCAATTATTTGAATATAAAAAGAATAAGATCACGATTTAACAAATTAAAATAATCTTTCATGAACTCTTTCATGAATAACATATTAAACAAAAATGAAAGTTATAAATCAGTGGTAATGGCTTATTCTGGAATATATGACCTCTGTACATCATCAGTACCTGACTTGGTACAGTATAGTTACTACTTGGAAACAGAGTTAGATTAAATAATGTAACAATAAGAACAATATATATTATAATAATAAACTTCTCTGCACATATCAGACGCTTGTTACCATGAACTACCTTGTTACCATGGTTAGATGATTCACTTGAAGCCCTACTGTTGCGCCCTCGCGTATCGCGCAAATGCTGCACATTTCTGGCCATGCCTGCATAATTATCACTGCTTCGTTATTATTGATCTAGCAGAGAGCTTAACCTTTGGGAGATTACAGGGAAACATCAACAAGTGTGCTTTATGTAATCTCATTTAATGGCCTATTAATTAGGCAAATTATTTTAATTTAATTAATTATAACTCTGAAATTAGCCTAGTGATACCCAAGGGAAATTTACAGACTGACCCTCTCAAAGGTCTTCAGGCCCATAAGTCACACCTTAAGAAAAGCACAAAACAATAATGCACAAAATAGGAGACTACCAATTCTGATGCAATAATACATTATGTTTAACTGCACAGTCAACATCAAATTTTAATTATGCACAACAGGTAACACCGACAAAAGTAAAAGCATAAGGCTTCAGGCCCATCAGAGTTCAAGATTATACTTAGAAAGTGCCAGAATGAGAAAAATGAAAATTTCACAAAAAAATGCATAAATTTAATAAAAATGATAATCTAATAGAGCTGGTTTGCTAATATGACCTGTATGTCAATCCTAAGAATCATTCTTGTAAGACTAGTTGTAAAAATAGAAAGTTACAGTTTTCTTTCCATAATGTTAATGCCATTATGGTGGCAGTGCACATAGAAGGTTTTTTGTCAGTTTTGATGCAACATTACATAATGATTAACTGTATAAATACCATAAATTTTAGTAATATCTACTATTAAAAACATGGACATTAAGAGAATTTGATTACCACTGGACTTCATGCCCAAGGAAGATCTAAGTCCCACATTGAAATTTCCAGTATGTGAAAGATATAATTTTTCACAAAACTTCCAGAAAATTAACTAATGAGACAGATTTTCCAACTGAGGCTGTATTTAAGTCCTATGTTTCTTTCTTATAAGTGTGAAAAGAGCAAGTGACATGGTTTTCCTTTCACAGTCACTACGGAGGCAGTGCCCAAAATAGGGTTTTGTTTAATTTTGATGCAATATTACACAATGCTTAACAGTATAATAAGTTAATAATCATCATTTTTTTAATGATAAAATGGATATTCAGAAAATGTGTCAAGCCCATAGAGTTCAGAGTCACACTTTGAAAATTCCCAAAATCTAAACAAGAGAAAACTGTATTGAAAAGAGCTTATTTCCATTTTCAACACCTTTTTTACATAAAACAAAATAATCTATTTACTGTCATATTTATATGATCAATTAAAAAATTATGTTGTCAAAGGAAATATATCAACATAACAAATTTAAATGTCCAACTTGCTCCATTCTGAGATTCTTAACTTAGTGAATGATTGAATATGGCGAACTGCAATGATATCAGTTCCTTTCCATTTTTGGCACAGGTGTACCGTCATTTTTATATAATCAACTAACAATATTGTTAAGAAGCAGAAAATGCCAAAACAACACTTTTCATATCTAATTAGTTCTGTAATGAGACTGTCAACATGCCTAATAATTAAATCTGAAGAAAAAACACTTATATACAAAAGGGCTAATAACTTCATCAAAACTTAACTGATCAAGCTTATTTTCAAACTTGATCTGTATACTAGTCAGACTGATCACTCCTGTGAGTTTCAAGACAAAAGGCTGATTGGTTTTCCTTAAAATGCGTTATCAGTGTTGCATATATGCTGAATAATGGAAAAAAACAGCATAACTTAAAATTTGTAAAAATATTCCAATCAAGCCAATTTTCGAACTTGACCTGCGTATTACTAATATTCATCAGTTCTGTAAGTTTCAAGCCAAAAGGTGAAACGGTTTTCCACTTATCATGTTATCGGTGCTGCATATATGCTGAAAAAAGTGAAAAAAACAGCATAACTTCCCTAAAAATGGCCCGATCATGCTGATTTTCGAACTTGACCTGCGTATTATTAATATTCATCAGTTTTGTAAGTTTCAAGCCAAAAAGTAATATGGTTTTCCACCTATCGTGTTATCGGTGCTGCATATATGCTGAAAAAAGTGAAAAAACAGCATAAATTCCTTAAAAATGGCCCGATCATACTGATTTTCGACCTTGACCTGCGTATTATGAATATTCATCAGTTCTGTAAGTTTCAAGCCAAAAGGTAAAATGGTTTTCCACTTATCGTGTTATCGGTGCTGCATATATGCTGAAAAAAGTGAAAAAACAGCATAACTTCCCTAAAAATGGCCCGATCATGCTGATTTTCGAACTTGACCTGTGTATTATGAATATTCATCAGTTCTGTAAATTTGAATACAAAATGTAAACTGGTATTCCACTTATCGTGTTATCGCTGAGTGCACGGCGACGACGGCGACGGCGACGGCGACGACAGACGTGTCTGTACATAAAAATTTGCCATCGACTTAAATTTGTAAATGTTTTCTTCGGTTGCTTTCGGCCATGAAGTTTTGACGTTGAAAGACTAATTTTATGTCGAGATTGGACTTAAAAACGTATGAAGCAAGAGAAAATGTCCTGCAACACATAAACTTATTATTACCAGGATTGTTAAGACATTAAAACACAAATGACACAAATCACCTCAATACTACTGCTTCCATCAGGACATAGACAGGTACCAGGTCCAGTAGGACACGTGGTGGCTACGGTAGCTGGCCTACAGCGCCTGCAATGTCCATCGGTTAAAATGTATTTATTAATGATCACCATTCTATAGTAGTATAGAGTGCTATGCATTAAATGAATATATTTAAACGTATACAATAAAGATACACTGTAAGTTCTAATATCATGACTGCAATGAATTGATAAGATGATGTTCTTGGTTAACATTTCTATAACTGTATGGTAATGCACCTTGATATTGAAACACTTAACTGTTGGCGCTTAAACTGAAATACGTAATACACACATCAGATATGAAGATGTCAAACAAAACGGTTCTCACACTTACGCAGAAGCTTTTACAGAATCAGGAACAAGCACATATTCTTCAAGGCTTGTGAAAATCGAATATGACGCTTCTAAACGAAGAAACCCAGCGTCTTTTCTGTATCCCGATCCCGCTTTTTGGACCACAAGGTGCACGCCCTCACGCCCGGAACAGATCTTAGAACACGTGATAATGTCCAAACTGTCCGTGATAGGGGCTGTAGTCGTGTATGTGACAGTCTCAGAACGGCTGACAACACCGGGGTCTGAAACGACAATGACATGTTTCCTGCATTCCAACCCCAAATAAGCTCCGTGTATTACATTCACACACTCATGTTCGTGCATGCACACCACCTACATGTGTCTTCTACTATACTGTAATAGTCTAATAAAGCAGCCATCGCTTAAGAGTCCCTAAAATGCGTACAGTCGTTTCTGAAAGAATAATGCTAACGAATTTTTTAAAATACTGCACACCAGTTCCAGCAGCAAATTTATAAAACAACGTTAACAAATGTGCCAAGGTGTTCGCCCGTGCTACATGTGTACATACACGTAGGTTCTGCTGGTATTCTATGCCCTGTTTGCTGATGGCTTCATTATGCAGTCCCACCATGTGTACGTCGAAGCACCCGCGTTACAGACATCAATAATACCAGGGGACATAAAGTGATATGCAGAAATGTGTGACAGCCGTATTGGAACACTAGGACTCTGGAGTAGGACTTACCTATCAAATTCTCTAGAAAACGGAGAACTAGCGAAAGGTTGACGAGGTAGTAAACTATGGTATCCGAGGCACTGGGAAACTGCACGTGCAATGCTGGTTCTATGTCAACGTTTATATGAACATTGCCCATGTCATCTGTGTGATCTACGTCATGTGTCACGTCAGTCGCCTGGAAAAAACAGATGCTTCAATTCAATCTGTTCCCCCTAAAAACGCCATTACGTTGTTTATCAGAATCAACTCATCAGGTTGTTTGTGTTCAATAGCAACAGTCATTTCCAGAAGACAGTTTAATATCTGAAAGCCATAATCGCAACTATATTCAGAATTAAATTGGAATTTATTGTCCTTTAAATATGTACCCCTAACATGTTTTTGTTTGATACCCTGTATTAATGTATACTGCTATAAATGATTTAATAAACAAAGTACATAAAAACCGCTTAAATATTGGACGGACTTCTTAGAACAATGAAAATACCAAGGGTACAGTGGTTGAACGGAATAGATAAATAATGTGAGTAGAGCTTTCACTACGAACATCAATAATAGAACCACACATCGGCACCTTACAGCAAAAGTGGGTGCCTTTGGATAGCCTGGGAGCAGCTAATGAAGCGGGGGGGATTTTTTCTTTTTCACAAAGATAATTTCACATTGTCTTTTTCGCTAAGAACAAATTCTGGTTGAAATGCAGTAAACCGAAAGTATCAAATAAGTTGCAAATAATTTAATTATAATAATAATGCCCAGCGAACTGAAACTTACAGCAGCTCTGTGAAAATGCTCCCCGTCGGCTCCATATCTCCAAGTTGCACCGAGAGTTTGCCGGACTCGTCCTCGGGAATGATGTCGCAATACGCCAGTGCCCTGAAATTTGGGCGAGTTCCATGATTAAAAAACACACACACATACACATAGGCAGCTGGGGATTGCAGGAACAACAGAACACAATGGCTTCACCGTGGGTGGTCGTGTATTACAAGTGTGTTATAAACTGTGAACATAGGGCGAAGGACGCCCACCCCCTCTCAAACAGGCGACTTCAACAGACCACCGGTACAGTTAAACCGTTTTTGGTCGGTGTTACCGCTTCCCACTTACCTGGGATGTTGCCGTAAAACTGTACTTCATGTTGAGGAGAGCAATATTAAGAGGCAAGCAGACGTCTTGTGAGATAGCCAAGCAGTGCACGCCAAGAGATGTACGTTTAGATACAAGATAATGATCTTCGTTGACTTCGGTGTATCTGAAGTTTAAAAGTTTAAAACAGCATACAGATTATCTAAGAGTAGTTAGGCATGTACCGTATGTTGCAATTGTAAAATGGCCAAATTGTGATATTTCCTTAATGGGCAGCCATTGCTTGTAGCAAGTACGTATTCCTTGCTTGTAGTAATAACAATTATGGTTGGAAACAATGAAATTAAAAAACAACAAGCCATGACTTTTATTCAACAATCTACAACTTGTGCGCATTACGTTGTCTACGTTAAGAATGTAAATCACTGGACCATTCACACCTGACCAATGCTTCATAACTGTTGTTCATATTGTAGTCAATGGTTGCCTCCAGTCGGATCCCTATCTTCTGTGCTTTTGGAACTGTGGACTGTAGATGGAGCTGCAGTCCTGTTGTCACCACTATATTCATGTCAACTGACAGCTGCTTTCTCAACGCTGAAGTTGTCTATATACAAAGATAAATGTTCATCTTATACACTGCGATATACTTAAGGGGGAAAGGACTAGTTCAAAGCGAAGGGGGTGGTGTGGATGCAAAGCAAGGGGGGTGTGGAGTACCGAGTGCATTCATGTATTCCAGAATATGTGTTTCGTGTATATAAGTACTAAGTACGTAACCTTAATAAAACACATTATATAATTAAATTCATTGTATTATTAGGTCGCCGCAACGGTAGCTTAAGTATCTACCAATATGTTTTCCATATCATTATTCAGTTTAACGACAAGCTACAATATATGTAATATCCACTTTATTCAATACTCGCAGGAACAAAATTTAAGTTGACACCGCAGGTACAGTAATTACCTCAAACACCGCCTCCTTTTTCAGTGATGTAAATATGCCATCAGTGGATATTTGGTTGTTCAGTCGTCTGTCGGGGTGGAAAGCAGTGTAGGGAGCAGACGTCAGCACTGTGTCTTTGTTTAAGTCCTGGATGGGGATACACTCCAGGAAAATGTAGCCCCCTTTCTCAAACCTTGAAATAACCTGAATACGAATAGTATATCTCTTTTGAAGCCCAGATTGGTTACGGTATGCTAAACATGCACCTACATCTTCATATTTTATTCTATAAAAGTCATACAGAAAATGTGGAACAATTATGCATTATATAGTTTTAACGTTATATGCTCAATATCAAAATCGGTTCATCTTGCCTTGTTACAATGCTATATTCTACATGTATATGCTGCCGAGTCAAATGGTGATATGATATACCAGTCAAGTATAGTTTACCTGACCGAGAAAGGCGCCAGATGTACGTCCTGGAATGACGTCGCCTACGACTGGTGGCGCCGTCTCTTGATTCACTGACTCACTAATGTGCAGGCTTCTGTCATTCTGTTCTCCGCCGTGACAGTACATAGTGATAGATGTGGAGACAGGAGAGACAGCAATTAAACTAGAAAACACATCGAGTACGCCACATGTCATGCGCTTTTCTACATAAAAATGCTAAGTATCAATTATATGCATGTACGAACACATTAAAAATGTACAGTGTACTTTCCTTTGGCATTCTAAAATGAATACTTCTATACGTACCACTGTCGACCAATTATTAGCAAAAAAAAAAAAAAGGATTGCCGTGTCACTATTCATAACAAAGCCTCAGAATATTCCAAGGAGACGGAGAAAATTAGTTGTCGTTTCCAAATAGATTATTTATTGTTCGACCGGTGTAACGAAACTAAGTGTCTGTGTAACAGAAAGTCCGCCGTCCATATAGTTTTAATGGTTAGGGTTAGCCTGACCTAAGTGGGCCAAAATCTAGGGCGAGGCTCACCTGTACAAATGAATGGGAAGCGGTCTCTCTGTTATGGGGGACTCTCTGTCACGTTCGACAGGGACCGGAAATTTAATATGACGTACTACACATACTATAATGTATGTCACGTTTTGAAGTAACTAAGATGTAAAACGGCACGTTGTATTCATCGTATACAAATACCACTAACCTAAAAGACATAGCCTGACTACACGTCTTCACTTTGGCGTGATACGTCACAGCCTCAGATTCTGTTACAACATCCTCTATGTCCTCGAGGAAGCCCTGACTTTCCCTGCCGACGACGACATCGCCAACGCCAATGTGTTTTGACATACTCTGTCGTAGCACAATGTACTGAGACGCCACAGGTCTTATGGTCACATTGTACCAATGTCCAAGACATTTAAAAACATGATCATCTAAAATGAGAAATGAACTATTTTTATCAGCTGACACTGGTTCACATATTTATCAAATGAATACGTACGCTACTTCCTGTAGTGTAGGGTAAATACTTTATACTAGCAAAGTTGCACTCAGTTTTTCAACCGTTTATATTTATTGTTTATTATTATTATTATTATTTGGGGAACAATTTAAAATCAGAACTTCACGAGATTCACCTTTTACCAAGTGAACTAAGGAACCTCTAATGGCTGCTCCTTCCCACGCAGAGGCAATTTTAAAAATGCGTTTTTCCGGCATGTGCTCAAGCGTCCTGTCATCCATGAGGGAACGGACAGGAACTGTTTGGTTAAAGTTGGCATACTGGATGACATCTTCCAACGAGGCCCTTACAGCGACAAAATATCGGTATGTTCCTGAACAAAACGATTGCCATAACTGATAAAAACATAATACTACGATGTACACGATGTATCATGCAAATGCTATAAGCCTATTAAAATACTTTTAAGGGGGAGGATTAAATTAAAATCTCGCTTTAATAAAATATACCACTTTGTCCTAAAATACACGTTTATATTTTATGTCGATTATTGGTTAAACGTCATGGATATGAAACTTTTATAGGACGTACTTTAGTAATATTTTCAGGTTATGGATTATGCTATATTAATGTGCTAGAAATATCACTACTTCAACTGACATAACGTCATAAGCATGATGATCTTTGGTTGAAAATAGTGTTACATGCAGTATAATAAACTCACCTTTTTCTTGAGTTGCGTACACTTTATGCATGATTTCTCCAGCTTGCTTGCTGACAATGACAAAATCTCTGGACCTGGGATACTTGACCTTGTCTCTGGTCACAAGAATGGAGTGACCTATCAAGAATTATTCAGATAAATGCAAACAAAAATCAGCATGCGTTTTAAATTTTTATTCAATTGCGTGTGGAAATAAATATTGAAGCCTTACTTAAATAGGACTACCATGATCACTGTAATAACTGTATCTTTATGGTGAACTACGGGTTAACCTTTGGTACAGCAATAGTAAAAGGCATCAAACACTTTGTTAATTATTTATTCAAGTTATCGTTCCCCTGATATGAAATATTTGTTACATTTTTTCACAAATATTGCAGTAACACGACGGTATGTTCAACAAAATATACTTACAGACTTGCAAACTTTTGATAGAACACATAAAAGGAGGCATATTATGAAAAACCTCGTATTCCACTTTGCATCATATTTCAAAAATTCATAAACATTACAGATGTCATACATGGATGCTCACCTCTTTGTTTCGTGTTTAATATAGGGCACACATAAAACTCTCTGTCAGGCTTAATGACCTTCACGTTTGCAGGGTCGTATCCAGGGCTTGGTTGCCATGGTTATAGACCGGTCGCACTAGGCCATTTGGGCATTTCCTCATGTCCCATTGACGGCAGCTATATGAGATCTAACCGGTGTAATATGCAAGAAAACATATTTCCTAAGGTAATTTGTAGAATAATTAGACACGATGGATGGTATTTGTTCAGTTATTAAATATGAAAAAAAAACATACAGCATTGGTCAAAAAGGTTGTCCCACCCCCATTTCCATGTACCTTTATTTACAAATGATCACCTAACAGCTGTTAATTGTTAGAAATAGTGTTTTTTATTACGTATACCGTGTCTAACATCATTAATGGTTTAAAAAATACAAAATTTAAGAAGAATGGGACAATATCCCACATAACAGAATTGTTACCCATGTTGAATGCTTGTCGCGCCGTCTACAGGAGATAATTGCAGTACGCGGTCTTTTGCAGTACGCGGTAGACGCACACGCTGTTAGGCACGTGATCTTTAACGAGCACACCCTAATGCTAATTGTGTGTGAATTTTGTGACATTTGATGGCGTCTTTTCAAATTTATAGACATTTCTTTACATCTTTAGAAGTCACAGTGAAACAGTCGATTTGAGGGGGTACCTCTTATAAATTTTACTAAATAGTATAAAATATGTATATTTTCACCACTATTTTGTATTTTTTTTTAACCATTAATCATGTTAGACAAGGTATCCGTGATAAAAAGCACTATTTCTAACAGTTCACAGCTATGAGGTGATCATTTGTAAATAAAAGTACATGGAAATGGGGGTGGGACAACCTTTTTGACCAATGCTGTATGTATGTCATTACATAGTACAGTCATCATAGCTTACTTACAAGAAATGGCATTAACACATTTACACAAAATACTTTACGGAAGGATTATAACGGCACCCAATATAATGTGAAACAGATTGTGGGTCCGTTAATGGTTAATTGTTCTTCTTATTTTTATTTACATTATATATCACTCACTCACATCGTCACTGAAGCAGGCCTCCACGTCTCTACACCTGTGACAGAGCTCATCATTGGAATACCGTATGGTAGAGTTACACTGCCGGTAGTCACAGCCGATATACTGAACACATTAAATATACGGCATTAAGTTAACAAGGCAGCAAAGCTGTCAAATGTACAGACAAAAAAACAGAAAATAAAGATGCAAAATAGGTCATTTTGTCAATTTTGATGCAATAATAAATAATGCTTATAATAGCACTGTCAGTCAACACTGAATTTTAATCATGCACAACAGGTAACATGGTCAATAACAGGAGTGGACCCAGAGATATTTTCTGACAGTTACGAGTATTCCAAAGAATCTATGTGGATCCATCCTCCATTTTGATGGTCTTCCAACAGAAAAAAATAGATACCAGTCAATATAAACTTAAAAACCTGGCCATCTTCCGGAAGACCCAGAAGATGGTCTCAATCCACCCCTTCAATAAGATTACAGTTTCAGGACCATNTATCATGTTATCGGTGCTGCATATATGCTGAAAAAAGTGAAAAAACAGCATAACTTCCCTAAAAATGGCCCGATCATGCTGATTTTCGAACTTGACCTGCGTATTATGAATATTCATCAGTTTTGTAAGTTTCAAGCCAAAAAGTAATATGGTTTTCCACCTATCATGTTATCGGTGCTGCATATATGCTGAAAAAAGTGAAAAAACAGCATAACTTCCCTAAAAATGACCGGATCATGCTGATTTTGGAACTTGACCTACGTATTATGAATATTCATTAGTTCTGTAAGTTTCAAGCCAAAAGGTAAAACGGTTTTCCACTAATCGTGTTATCGGTGCTGCATATATGCTGAAAAAAGTGAAAAAACAGCATAACCTCCCTAAAATGACCGGATCATGCTGATTTTCGAACTTGACCTGCGTATTATGAATATTCATCAATTCTGTAAGTTTCAAACCAAAAGGTAAAACGGTTTTCCACTTATCATGTTATCGGTAAAAGTGCACGGCGACGACAGACGCAGGTGACGGCTATATGTACAGACACATCTGTGTCTGTACATAAAAACGAGATGATGGTGATTTAAACCGTTTTTTAAACCGATTTTTTTCACACGAAGTGTATATTTTTGAACATGATATTTGTGAATCACTCGGAATTAACACAATATGGTAAGAAAAACAGCTGGAATACAGTGATCATACAATCCATTTAAAATATAACTTATACTGTATCAGATCTCAGTTTAGTTTAATTTGTTATGTGCAGACACAGATGTGTCTGTACATATAGCCGTCACCTGCGTCTGTCGTCGCCGTTGCCGTTGCCGTTGGCGTGCACTTTTACCGTAAACACGATAAGTGGAAAACGGTTTTACGTTTTGACTTGAAACTTACAGAACTGATGAATATTCATAATA